TGGGAAGAGCCTCCCCCGGTGCAGGCTCCGCACCCATCCATGGCTCTGGATTAGGCCCCATCAGTAAACCAAGGTGGGCAAGGGGGGACCAAGGGTCTTGCCCCCCTCTTGTGGGCAGAGCTCAGCTGCGGTAACAGAGAGGGGAGGATCAGGGTGGATGCCGTGCTCCAGGCAGGGATGTGCTGGATGATACCATCCATCCATCCAGTATCATCCGGTTGGGGGGTGACGTTTGGAGCCTCCTGCACCCCCAGGACATGCAGCGGGTGAAGTGTGGCAGAGCCTTAATGCATCAGGCTCCATCACTGTGCTTACATTCCGGAGCAGACAAGGCAGCAGAGCGCAGCACGGGATCCAGAGCCATCTCGTGATTCTGCTTTCACCACGTTTCCTACAGACCTGCCTTAGGTTTGCCTTTGGCAGAGGCAGGAACAGCAGCAGAGGCTTGGGTGAGGGGCTGCGGGACAGAGGCAGGCAGAGGCTGTGTTCGCTCCGGTCTTACATGAGGAACCGAGCAGCAGCTCCCTCCTCACGGGCTGCTGCCGCCGAGCGTGTGTGTTCCTGGGGGAGCCACTGGAAACATCGAAGGAGAATTAAGGGATTATGAAAGGCAGGCGCACGGACGGTCTGACTGGGGCATTTCCAGAGCAAACCAGTGTGAGCTCTGTCCCTCTGTCTGTCCTGGGAGCTGATCTCACTCCAAATCCCTTCTCTGCCCAGCAAAGCGCTGCTCATGGAGTCTTGCACTACACTCTGGTCCCCCAAAACCCATGGAGGGGCATTGCTCCCCCCCCCCCAGCCCTACTCTGCTTCATGCCCGCACCGTGGGGAGCACATGGCTCAGCCCTGCATCCTGGCTCATCCTGATGGGCAGCTCCCGGAGTGCACTGGCAGCCATGGGCCAGGCACGTACCAGCACATTCCTCTGCTCCAGGGATCTGCTCTGGCACCCAGCTGGGTGCAGATGACAGGTCTGATTATGGTCAGGGACCCCACGGGGACACACACACAGGCAGGCTGGAGGAGGCACAGACTGAGCTCCCTCGCATCGGTTTAACAGGGGGAATCAGCTTTGTCCCATATGTCAGCGTCCCCATGAACCAGAACCCATGCAGGATAACAGGGGTCAATGGTGGGGGCAGGATGGGCTGGAGCCAGCACTTCTCCACCAGCTTTTCTTTCCCCTATTATCTCTCCCCAGGCTGCTGCCTGACATCCTCCATCCTCATCCAGGTATGGGAGATACCCAAACCACCCTTTTCCCAGTTTTCCCTCAAGTAACGAGTACTGGAAAGGCACAAACAAGTCACAACTTCAGGAAACGTTGAACTGAACAGACTGAGGCTGGTGGTTTCTGCCCCAGCTCAGGCACTGCTCACCCTGGACACAGGAGATCTCCCTCTCTCAAAGCATCCTCTATGGTGAGCCCGAGCCCAAGGTCAATCTCAGCCCAGGCAGGCGGGGCTGTAGTGGGACAGCTCTGCCCTTGATTGGGGCTGGCACCTCCCAGGACACGGCTCCAAGGTGATGAGCGCTGATGCGACACCGAGAGCTGGAGGAAGCCGCTGGCTGCTGCAGCGGCGAGACTTAAACCGAGCCTTCAGCATCCCCTGTGCTCCTGCAGGCCCCGCTCCCCCGCTGCCTTCAGCCTGAAGCAGGGAACAGACTCACCCACCACACATCAGTCACACCCCAAACTGCTCCCGACACCGCGCTGATCTGAAAATTGCTCTAATTCAGAGTCCTCCGAAGAGGAGCTATGTTTAGGATTGCACAGGCAGCTTGGGGAAGGATGCTGGCAGCACCAGGTAAAGACACGCATGGATCCACCGCCTCTGTGTGCCCTGCGGTGCTGCAGCTGCTATCATCCAAAGATAAACTTGACCTGCACAGGGAGCTGGCCCCTTTGGTTCGAAGGATTCCGAGCCACATCAGCCAAGCAGCCACAGCTGGAAGGGCAGAGCCCCCAGCTCATTCTCTCCCTGCAGCAGCCATTTTCAAGCCATGCTCCTCTACAGCTGCAGAGAAAGAAGGTGGGAGAGCTTTAATGTGGAATGGAAAACCAGAAAGGCTGCTGGGTCTGATGGTTTGGATGATCTTAAAGCCCATCCAGTTCCAACCCCCTGCCACAGGCAGGGACACCTTCCACCAGACCAGGTTGCTCCAAGCCCTGTCCAACCTGGCCTTGAACACTGCCAGGGATGGGGCAGCCACAGCTTCTCTGGGCAACCTGTGCCAGGGCCTCACCACCCTCACAGGGAAGAACTTCTGCCTCAGATCCCATCTCAGTCTCCCCTCTGTCAGTTTAAAGCCATTCCCCCTTGTCCTGTCCCCACCTGCCCTTGGCAAAAGCCCCTCTCCAGCTTTCTTGCTGCCCCCTTTGGGCACTGGAAGCTGCTCTAAGGTGTCCCCGGAGCCTTCTCTTCTCCAGGCTGAACAAGCCCAGCTCTCAGCCTCTCCCCATAGCAGAGTGCTCCAGCCCTTAGAGCATCCCTGTGGCCTCCTCTGCACTTGCTCCATCAGTTCCATGCGGCTTCTGTGTTGGTTTTGCAGAAATCAACTCTGCTGAGCATTCTCCAAGGACAGAGCTGCCTTTCCCCAGTCCCCAGTGCTAGGACAGAGCAAGGTATTTCCACAGACTGGATCCTGCAGGGATATGGTGGCTCTTCCAACTGCACATGAACCGGTACTCAGGGAGGAGATGCTCCTCAGAGAGTTCCCAGCAGGACCTGGGCTGTGGAAGTTGCTGGTCCAGGTTTTTGCCTGCTGGATCACCTGGCACTGGAGCCTTGCTCCTCCCCATGGCACTCAGTCACAGCACCACAGACCTGGTGGTGAAATTCCCAGACAGACAGCACATGCAGGCAGGCAGGAGACGGTGCAGACAAAGAGCAACACTGCTCCTAGAGAGCCAGGCAGGGCACCGGCTCCAGCACACCCAAGCCGTTGGCAGGGCACCCACTGCCACCGATTGTCTGCGGCACATCAGTTCCTACCAGGATTTGGGGGGGATTAGCCCATGGGATGGGTGCTGTGTCTGGCACTACCCATTGGGGTTACCCACTTTGTTGCTATAAAACCTGGGGAGTCTGAAAAGGGGTTTCCAGCCTTGCCAAATCCTCTGTTTTAAAAGTTTCTGGTGAGAAAGGCACAGGAATTGAACTAAACGCACTGGATGCCAATGCACATTTGCACACCAAAACTTTTTAGGTGCCCTAATGTTCATTTTTGGCTTTAAATAAGCCCAGGGAAAAAAAAAAACCCAAACAGGCTATTAGGAACCACATGGTGGAGCTGGTATGGCTGGTCAGGACACAGCCACAACAGGGAGTTTGAGGATATTATCAGGAAGCCAAGCCAAGTGCAGGCAGGGGGTACGAATGCCTGTTGCCATTCCTGGTCCACTGCCCCATTGCTTCTCGTGCCAACGAGGCAACAGTGCTAAGAAAAGAAACCTGCATGCCCCATCCCTGTCTCTGGCACTATCAGGCTGGATGAAGATGTAACCTCCTCCTAGCAGCATGCATTAACAGGAGGGACAGCTAGTATTTTGAGGACAGCAGAAAGGTTTGGCACTGAGATGAGCTTCCATACAGCCCAAAAGCACCTTGGCCTCAAAGACATTACTGCAGTGTTGGAGTGGACACTACACCAGTTTCAAGGGCTACAGGTTAGAGTCTTGTCCTAAATGTGCCTTCAAGCTTTACTGTGCTCCCATCATACAGCTGTCAATGGGAATTTGCTCTCTCCAATTCATCATCGCTCCACACCCCAGCAGCCAAAGCGACCCCAGCCCTTCAGTACTGCTCCCACCCCATCACCAGGACCAGCTGGGGGGCTCTAACATTCATACAGCAAGTGTGGGCCCAAACTGCATCCAGACCACCACTCAGTCAAGGTAACAGCCCAGCCTCAGCCATCTTTGGTGACTGCAAAGCTTTAAAGGCCCATCAGTAGAAAAAGAAAGCATTCAACAATTGATGCTATGATTTACTATTTCTTTGTGCTCCTTAGGAAAAAGGTCGAGAGGAGGAAAAAATAACCCCAGCATGAGAAGGGTGCAATCACAAGGGACAAGCCTTGCCCAAGGCACCTGGAGTGCCAAGGCTGAGCTCCTCAGCTTCCCACCTGGCCCCAACACCAGAGCAGCATTACAGAGCCCACCAAGGGAGTGTTTGGCAGAGGACCCCAGCCCCAGGGACTTCTCATGACACCCAAAGTGGGTTCCCCAACTGCAGATGGGGCTTTCATGGGGTGTCCTGGACCTGGAGACACATCTCCACCCCTGTGCTTTTCCTTCTCCAGCTTCAGGGAATTAGCGACTGTGGGTATTACATGTGGGATGCTTGGGAAGGAGCATCATTAGCACACTTCCTCAGAGGAAAAGGCTCTTACGTGAAGTAGCAACAGCATTTAGGATATAATCCTGATTGGATTCCCGGTTTCAGTTTAACCAAAAAGGCAAACTACCCTGGCAGCCTCCGGACCCCTGCAGGAGAGGACAAAAGATCTGAACAGGCATCTGAATGAAACAATTAACAGCGAAGCTGGTATGGGAATAGAGGAGCAGTGGGATCCTGCTCGGTCAGCGTGCCCAGCCCTCCTCTATTAAAATCTCCCACTTCAGAGCTCTTCTTTCAAGTGTGTGATTCAACTGGGAACACGAGCGATTGTCCACAGCACAACAGTGGGGAAAGCAGGCATCAAACAGAAATAATCCCATCAGGCCTCAAATGCTGTTTTACCTCGTCCACATTCATTAAGCTTTTAAAACCTGAAATACCATTTTCCAAAGCAGGGGATCACCGAGCACGCTGCAAAAGGCCTTTGCTTGCCTGCACTGCTTTGGTGTCTCCCACCTCGCAGAGTAGCAAGATCAGGCTTTACGTTTACTCCACTGTAGTCAAAATGCAGCCCCAAAAGAAACCCGTATCATATTAACAATTCTCGGCTCACCCACAACACACACGGAGGGGAAGGAGACTCCAGACAAAGCGGCACAAGCTTTGTACAAAAACCACGTTGTTTTTCGATTTATTTCACAAAATTGGGAGGCTGTGTTGCAGGAATAAAACCGGCCCTGTACATAGGATCAGATGAAAAAGTCAGCACATGTATTATTTATACAGAAACACAACAGTGTCAAGAATTCAGGTACTCTGTAGGATCATCACTAGTACAGTAAAAAATAGTCTCCATCTGGATCCTTTGTATTTGATCACGCTAAAAACAACCTGAGGTTATTCTAAACTGGACTACGGTTTGAACCAGAAAATCCTATGCTCACCCCAAAGACCCTGGAGGGAAAGGTAACGTTGGGGCTGAATTTCCTTTGTGGGAGGTGGAAGGCAGGCAGGCCCTGACTGTTCTCTGCTAGGCACTGTGGATTCTTAGAAGTTGACAGTGGAAAGCGTCATTCCTATGTGCTGGAAGTAACAAGGCTGCGGATGTTCATCTGAGCATGCAGCCCAGAACTGGTTAATCTGCACTCATGCGCTCCTAGGACCTGGGAAGTTCAACCATTAGCATTGATGAGTCGATCACCTGAGTGCTCTTCAAAGGAAATCCTTTTGGTTTTAATGGTATAGGTGGTTCTGCAGGCTTCAGATTTATCTGAGAGCTCTCTCTCCGGTCAATCCTCAGGCCACCACCTTGCACTTGGTTGCTGAAAGCCACCCTTTAAACAAGCAAGCAGACACCAGACTATTTGCAAGGAAACCTGGCAAACGCTCTTATACCAGGAAGAGAGCAGAGAACTCAAACCACAACGGGCAAAAGGTTTTCTGCAGTCACTAATGATGAGCAAACAGGCAGCTGTTGGCAGCCTGAAGGTCTGTGTGTGATGGTCTCAATGAGTGCTCCTAGATCTGCCTGCTGAAGCTGTTCCCTCACACCTAAACCCCCCAGCCATGGAAGCTCAGTGAGTGGAAGGTGATGTGTCAGTTGTCCTGGAGACGTGACCACGGTCGCTGACTCTGCCCACCTCGGCTGTCCACAGGAGGTAGTTCTGGCATTTGCATCCCAGCCATCCCAACCCAATCCCAAATGCTAGCACTTCTTCGCTATCTACTTTTTTTTTTGTTTGTTTTGTTCATTTTAAAAAGTAAAAAGTATATGCTCCAAAAAGAGGGACTAAAAATCATGGGTTTATTCCTCAGTTGGCTACTGTACCAAACTACTCAAGAGGTTCAACTACCACCTTCAAAGGCAAAAGAAAGGTAAAAACTGGAGCAAGAAAACTCCTACCGTTGAGTGGTTTTATTCCAATTGATTCACTCCTGGCTTCATTTGCACTGGATCAATATTTTCTTTAATAAGTTAGCGAGGCAGCCCCAGGACTCAGCTACTGTCCTTAATGATATCTGTAATGAACACAGCGGCATTCCTACACCTTCTGTGCTACAGCATGTCCTTATTTTCCTTCTCTGTTCAAAACACTGGTTTGGCATCCAACCTTGATGCTTTGCTCTACCTGGAGGACTCAAAACATTAGATCACAGGTGGAACGGGCACATGCTACATCCTAAAGCTCAGCTAATGCCTCCACTGTGCAAGCTTGGTTCTTTTTCACCCTCCCCAGGAGAACCCAAAGTTCAAAACACCAAGATGAAAGAAACCAGAGTCAAGCACACCCTGAAAGGCAAGCAGACCAAAGCATAAAGGACTTCCCACCAGCAACATGGAGGCACGACTGGCGTCTTTGATCTAAAGCTTTCCCAAAGGAATGCGGAGTATTGCCAGGTTCCGAGTAGTCATAGTGGTGGGCAGATGCTGTGTATAATGTGCTTGTATCATGTATGTATATGCACACATACACAACCGGGGCAGGCCAACAGGAGGTGAACACCTCCTAGGGGAACAGGAGGTAACTGAGGAATTCATTTTTGGTCACCACTATGTTGCTGTAGAAGTTCCTTCTTCCTTGACTGCTTTAGGGAGCGGCTGAGGCTGGCGGGGCTGCTGCTGGAGGTGGAGTCACTCCTTCTGCTGGTGGAGGTGGCTGTGCTGGAGGGGGATCTGTGGGAAAACAGCAGAGAAACAGTGAGCAGGACACCAGGAAGGGCTGAACATGGAAAAAGAACCCAATGCCAATGCCCAGGTGTCTATGTGCCACAGGAGATGTGGCTGTTGGAGGAAAAGGCAACAAGGACCGTCCCCAGAAATGGCCATGACTGCAGCTTCCCAAGGAAGCTTCACTGCGTGTTTTATTGTGTTTTTCAACCACTAAGCACTGTGTGGACTCTGGGAAAAAGGGAAAAAAGATTCCCATATTTTACAGAGAAGACGACAGCTCAGTAGCTGGCAAAGTTCACACCAAGCAACCTTCAGCTGGAATTAGCATTTCTCATCTCCCACCTCTGTGCTTGAACCTTTAGATTATGGCTCTTTTCTTTAAAAATAGATGGAACAATAGACTTTATATAAACAGAGCCTGCACTTAAGCTCTGAGCAGTGTATGTAGGTTAAAGTAGAGGAATCCACAGATGCAGCAAGGAGGAGGAAAGAAATGAAGGATACAAAAGGCCAGATTTCATGCACAGAGAGGAGATGTTAATGGAACATGACTGACTCGTTCAGTAGGGGAGGGGAAAAGAGAAATAAAGATAAGGGAAGAGAGTAAGCAGGAATGTAACCTGACGTAAGATATTCCCAGCGGTAGAGGCTCAGAAAAAAGGGAGGAAAACTAAGTAAAGCTACAGCACCAAAAGAATAAGGAGCAATGTTTGAACAAAAATAGCATCACAAGGGAGTATCTCATGCTTATGCTGGTTAACACCAATGAGTCAGTACTCCTCAGCAGCTCCCTTCAGCTGAGGCTAAAACAGGATGGCTTTTCCCAATTATTTTTTGGGAGAGGCACTACAAGCCATCACAACTTTTGCCTGTTTGGAGACAGCTGTGTGCTGAGGAACATTTCTGGGGTAAAGGCTGCCGTGCTGAAGCAGACCAGCAGCTTGTCCCAGGCTGCAGCTAATACAGACAAATATATTGAGGAATTCATAGCAGAGCATCCTACACCAGCTTCTCTTTTGCTTGCTGGCTTTGGCCAAATTCTCACACTCTTTTAAGTAACACCCACACAGGAGCTACTGCTTTTTTTGGCTGGCATAGATCAACTTCAGTTTTGGAGGTGTAGGTATTTGTATTGTGTAAAGAACATTCCCAATATACCTTTTGCTTCTTCCTAATTAGGACTTCCTCCTTCTAATATCACAATGCCAAGTTTTCAGCAAGGCATTGTTGAACTGAACTGTATTCTTGCCTCTGCTACATAAGGATTTAGATACTGTTAATTCTTGAACCTCTACGGTGCATTCTTCCAGAGCAAGTCAGGAGCAATTTTTAACGATGACCACAGAGCCTTACTATCATTATAAATAAAATAAGGGATGCTATAAATAAAATAAAGGACAATGAAATATGTTTGAATACCTAGAGGGGAGACAAGCACTTAAAGCTTCAAGCACACCTCTGGCACTAGTCTCTAGCTTCCAGCATGCAGAGATCCTATTATTCCTGCAGCAGATAAAGGGGTTTCAACTGCAACGAGTTTTCCAGCAACAAGGCAAGAGACAGAAAAAGCCACACCAGGTATATTCAGAATGTTTTCTGCTGGACATCCACTTACACATGCCATTCGGAGCTGCTAGAGGAACACGAGGTCCAATCAAATTTCCTGTCATCGGTGACATGCCAGGTGGGGGGGGACCACCGCCAGCTGGATGGATGTTGGCTGCCACATTTGGCATCATCCGGCCTGGCATGGGTTGTCCGGGTATCATCGAACCGGGCCCTGGAATCTGACCTGCAAGAGCAGTGAAGAGACATGATGCGAGACCCATGGAAGTGATTGGAGGAGAAAAACAGAGTCTAGTTGTTCTCCGAGAAGTGAGGAAAAAGTCTTCTTGTATGACAGCCAACTCCATACATGCTCCAAACACCTTTTTGTCCTCCCTCAAATCAACACATTCCCTTTGGGAAGAGCCCCTTTGGGACCTTGTAATCTCAAACGTCAAGAAGCAAGTGGGAGGTAACACAGTCAAACTCCAGAATTTTAAGTAAACCCCAGCTAAAGAGGCATTTAATAACAATCTAAAGAGGGAGTGGAAACAAATTGCACTAGAATAATGAAGCATCAAATTAAGAGCATGGGATTAAACAGAGCAGCCACAAACCTTAATGGATTAATTTAATGGGGGAACTGAAATCATACAGTTAGAAGTTTCAGTGTAGAGAAATTTCTACTCTTAAAAACCCAATTTTAATGCAAGAGAGGGTTCCAGTAACTCTTTCTTACATATCAGCTCTGTAAGAGACCTTTTATGTTTCAGCTGCACAAAGCACCTGTTAGCATCATCCAGCTTTAGACACCTCCAACTTGCTTATTATTAACTGCTTTAAAACCTCACTTTAAGAGATTATTTTGCACAATCCAATTACATTTACTTTTACACACATGAAGGTACAGTATTTCAGTTAGAAAAGCAGCTATTAGGCATGGATTGTAAAGACTTCTTTCAGGAGAGCTCATTCCACCCCAAACCTCAGGTGGTTATGTGAAGTAAAACATGGTGACAGAACCCTCAACAAAAAAAAGGCTCTGAACATACATAAAAAGCATAACAGCCACACCAGTGGTTAAAGCCAAGAAAGCCAGACCTCTGGATTTGTGTCCAACTCAGTACTTCAGCACAAACACTATCTATTAACTCTTAAGCTCAGCTTCAGAACGAGAGCTTTGAATAATATTTTATTAGTATCTGTTACTTCCATTTTGTAAGATGTGAGGAAACTGCACCAGCTCATAAGCTATTGCCTGGAATGGGCTAGTTACAGGTCTTAGCCAGCATCCTCCAGTCAGAAGCAGGACCACATGGGCCCACAAGCAACTTCACACAGCCACAGCAGACAGAAAACAAAGCAAAGTCTTCGCTTTGTCTAAGAGGAAATGGTGGGCTGTACATGAATGGTTGGGAATTTGTGATCTAGAAGAGTAATAATCAGCACTTTAACCCCAGTGATCAAAAGCAAACCCTGCTCCTTCAGAGCTGTCACTGCATAATGCCTGTACAGAAACCTCTGTCCGAGGGCCACGACCCAGGCTCTCACAGAGGTGAGGTTCACCAGCCATCACAAATCCTTCTCCATCTCCATCAAAAAGCTAGGAGGACCACTGAGGAACAGTTCAACCACGCAGGAATACCTACTGAACAACAGTTAAAAAAGAAAAAAACAACACAGATAAACTCGCTCCACTTCCCTGATGTTTGGTGCCTTTGCTAACCACATAAGACTGCCCTGCTCAACCACAACCTTCCAGAATATCACAGACTCCAAGAATGGAAGGGATCTTAAAGCTCATCCAGTTCCAACCCCCTGCCACAGGCAGGGACACCTTCCACTAGACCAGGTTGCTCTAAACCCCGTCCAACCTGGCCTTGAACACTGCCAGGGATGGGGCAGCCACAGCTTCTCTGGGCAACCTGTGCCAGGGCCTCACCACCCTCACAGGGAAGAACTTCTGCCTCAGATCCCATCTCAATCTCCCCTCTGTCAGTTTAAAGCCATTCCCCCTTGTCCTGTCCCTACCTGCCCTTATCAAAAGCCCCTCTCCAGCTTTGCTGTTGGCCCCTTTAGGCACTGGAAGCTGCTCTAAGGTCTCCCCAGAGCCTTCTCCTCTCCAGGCTCCCTCAGCCTGTCTCCATAGCAGAGGCGTTTCAGCCCTTGGAGCATCTTCATGGCCTCCTCTGGACCTACTCCAACAGCTCCATGTGTCTTCTTACGCTGGTGGCCTTAGACCTGGATGTGGTACTCTGGGTATAAGGCAGTACTTGCTTCTGAAACCCGTGCCACTAAACAGTGCAAAAGAATCCAACACACCACAGCCTGCTGGCTTCATACAGTCCTGGCAGATACTGACAAATCTTAAATTCACAGGAATTGTGAAGCACTGAACCATGAAAACAGTATTGGAGCTCCAGGTTATACAAGCAAGAGGCCCGTGTGCCAACCTGGCACTGCCTGATTACAGGAGCAAGACCAGCATACCGGCAAGCAGCAGATATGATGCTCTACAGAAACCATTGGATTTCTAAAACATTTACAAAGGAAAGGAAAACTTATCCCTGGACACATTCCATCACTAATCAGTGGCCTGCAGCACACATCATGGAATTTCCATCACTACATATTAGAGTGGCAACAACAGCAGCCATCCAGAAAAGCTGTATACATCTGAGCTTTTAATCCTCTTTTGTCACCACTATTAACAAAATATTTTCTGCTTTGGTAATGGGGAATAGGTGGTTCTGAAGAAGCCCCTTGGAATCCTTACACCTCCAGTCAACAGCTGAAAGGTGGGACATACCCTAAAATTATGTGGCATGCCTTTGTGGGTAAGACAAGGTGACCATGGACTCCCAGAGCTCCAGTGACTGGTTTTCCCTTTCCAGACAAGTTGAGCTGGATGTTCCTCAGTGTTGCCCATTTGCCATATCATCTTCAGCAGCAGCACTCTAAGAAGACTGAAGTGTTATCTCTGTCACTCTTACTGCTCCCCCTTCACTGAAAAGCCTGTCTTCTTGATGATCTCCTCGTAAGTATTGTAGGGCTGCTGGTACGTCCTCTCCATGGGGAAATTGCTCAGGCCCTCAGAGCATCTTTAGTGGCCCTCTGAACTCAGTCCACTCTGATCGATGCCTTTCAGTACTGTGGGACCCAGTCCTCCAGATGCTGCTTAGCAGCTAGTGGGCAGGGTGGGGGATAATCACATCCCTCAGTCTGCTGCCTGTGCTCCTGTTTGCACAGCCTGAAACGCTGCCAGTCTCTGCCAGCTCACACTCTGCTGGCTGCCCACCAGGATCAACAGGACCTTTTCTGAAGAGCTGCTGCTTGGGGTTAGTCCTCCCGGGTAGAGGACTTTGCTTTTTTCCTTGCTGAATCTCACAAGGCTTCTGTCAGCCCATTCCTCCAGCCTGCCTAAGCCCTCCTGACTGGCAGCCCTGCTCTCAAGCGTATCAACGGATAATACGCAGATAACTGAAGATTTAAGCAGATGTGGCATGATTTTGCTGCTGCTGGCATCTGGGCATCTGTTTTGGTCCAGCTCACTGCGAGAGGAGGACTGGGCAGAAAGGGCATGGCAGACAACATGAGAACACTGTCACTGAAAGTAACGGCCAGGCATGGGCTGACACTTAAAGACACAGTTATCTATTAGTATTAGGAGTGGGTCAAGAGCTATAGGACCAGTGCTGTTAGCAAAATGCTAGTGAGTTTTCAAACAGCCCCAAACTGACTATTTGCAGGCTCTTTGTAATCAGTTCTGTGCTAATGCTGAGCTTCCAACATAAGCATGGCAGGTAGACAAGCAAGCAGCTCTTCACCCCACAAGGCTGCCTGCGTGCAGAAGCAAGCCCAAGGGTACATATGGTCTCAGCCTGAAGATCAGCTCTGAAGCACAGCCTATCAGAGAATGCAGCTGCACAATGGCAGCTGGTAAAGCTCCAGAATTTGGGATTTTCCCCTGATTTACAGGAGACAGCTGTAGAAACTCGGGACATGCCCGATGTTATGTGATGACCTGTGGCACTACAGTCACAGCATATGTTTGCAGCTTGTATTTCAGTTGCTGGAGGTTCAGGGTGGAATACTTAAACGTGAAAAAATTCCTGTCTCACCAACAATCTCAATCTGCAAAGAAGGAAAGGAGGATGACATGGCCAGGTCAGTAACTGATACCCTGTTCTCTTCCCTTATGAAACATCATGGTAACAACAACTCAAAGTAGTCACTTTCCAGGAAAAATTTATATTCTGCTCCATTTACCTGGGAAGTCCTCTAAGAGCAGCTTGAACATTCAGAAGCTGCTTTTGCAAATCTAGTCTCTTCCTTTGAGTCCATGACAGAACACCACTGCAGGCTGGTTTTGTTTCATAGGCAAGCAGGGAAATTGAGGATCTGCCTCACTGTCCTGACAGACTGTGTATTCCTGGTCAGTTTAAAGTCTTCTAGTGGACTCAAAATACTATTTAACGGAGAAGAGGACTCAGTGTAGGGATGCAGAAACACAACTGATGCCCATCAGGGTGCTTGGAAGAAAGTCTGCATAGGGGAAGAGATGACAGCTGATATCTCTTATGATCTTAGACATGCCATGGGAAAAGCAAACAGGAAGCCTTTAGTTTCATCGAATACAGAATTAAAGGTGACCATCACAACTCTTTGCGTGGGACCATCCAGCCAGTTCTTTATCCACCAAGTGGCCCACCTATCAAATTGATGTCTTTCCAGTTTAGAGATAAGGATGTCATGTGGGACAGTGTTGAACGCTTTGCACAAGTCCGGTGACATCAACTGCTCTACCCCTGTCCGTTAGTTATAAGCAACCCCTAAGCACCAGTATCAAAATGCTCAAGGAACATGACTGTGGAAGGCTTGATTTGCATTTACACTGTTTCTTAACAGTCTACAGGAAGCATTTGCAGTCTATCAGGTGAAAGGTAGTGATGTGAACCTCTGGGCTGACCCAGGATATGCACACACTCGAAACCTACTCGTGAAAAGTCAAGTTTGCTGGAGAAGAGAGCAACAGAGATGGTGTACCAAGCTTCAGCATTAGAAACGTGTGTCCAGATCTAGCTTAGCTTGCACAGAACGAGCACTGCTTCCTCATATGTCCTCATCCTCACACTCCTCCCACGTTTTGATTCCAGTATTTACTCTGAAAGGGTACTGCAAAAGAAGAGCAGCCACTTGGTACATCAAGACAACATTACTATGCTCTTAATAACTCTGCTTGAGTAG